AGCGCTGGTAGGGTAAAAAGATTATGAGATATGTAAAGGCTACTTAAAAGCAAAAAATATATTTTACGATTTGTAAGTACTATTTATTAGTCTAAACAAATAAAGAAATTTTGACTTTGACTTTGACATTAAACTTAATAATGGAACTTCAAACCAAAACATTTACCGTACAAGACAACACACACAACTATTACCTTGACCTCTATCGTGCATAGTAAATACGCATACATACTATTATTCCACATTGACTATTAATTCCCCTCTCCACTCGACCTTTTCCGGGCAATAAAGTATGAATAAACAAACAAAATGTCTGTTTTTATGTATGTACTCGTACATTCCCTGTTCTTGTTAACATGGGAATCCCTTTCGTAGTATGGTAAATTTAATCAGGGGTAAGCAAACAAAGATTTGGCTTGCGGTTTGGCACAGTAAAAGGGAAAACAGTAACATTAATCCACACAGAATATCTAATTCGATATTTTTCATAGATTTCCTATTCATTTATTTCATACAGGAGGAAGCCGCTAGATTCAGATCGCTTCCAACGCTATGAAAGTCAATAAGTAGGCTTTTAAAAAGCGCTTTTCCAATATTGAGAAGGCCTATTTAGCTGACCTTCTGTGGCTGTGATGTGATGGTGAATAAACAATTGTTCTGTCCGTGGATTCCCTGATAAAGAATGCGTTCTTGAAACACAAGGAGTTTGAAGCGAAGGATTAACTGAAAAACAGGTCTGGTGCCTTGGAATTGTAATTAATACTGTAATGTAACACCTGTGGCATGTTTCAATCAACCCTACTGCTCATAATTTCACTATGGCCTTGCTTTAGTTAAATATTCATAGGTTTCATACCTATGTCATTGCTTACATGTGTGCCTTAGGGGGTAGTGTTTGCCATACCTGCCTGCCCTGAATTCTTTTGTTAGTATCGTTGTTTCATTTGCTCTTGTTTTAATTTGAGTAAAACAGACACATTTTAGTGTTTCTTTTTAGATTTAAATTATTATTTTTGTTGTAAAGATCATCATTTTCATTTGACAATAAATGTTTACTTACTTACTTTTTTAATTAAAAAAAAGGTATAATGGATGAATTTACATGGATTTTAGTGACTCTTTCACTTATAAATAGAAATACTAAAAAGATTAGGATTTTTCATGAATAAAATAATTACCCTGATGATATAATTTATGAAACTCAATGTATTTCAATACAATTAAGGTATTTTAACGTCATGTGAACAAAGAGAAACGTATTATGGTTCATCACTTACAAAAGTTCAACCAAAAAGCTTTTATGAAAACTCAAAGCATTTGAGTGGAGGTAAATCTCACCTCACTTAACTCGTAAGAGGCGGAATGAGCTAACACCTGTTCGCGCGTGACGTCACCGCGATGACGTAATGAGACCGCAAGCGTCTAGAGATCCTTTTTAATTGAGTTATAGAGGTGGAAGCGGAACCAAATTTCGGCACTTTAAAGTTAAACTGAATTTGGTTAGGTTTTGATTTATTGAACGGAATTTTGTTGAAACTTGATAGATAAGTACATGTATTAGATGTTATCTTTTAAGCGAACTAGTAAATAAAGTACATTAAGAAAGAATGCGTAACTTGGACAGACTTGTACGATACGAATTGTTTACATTTTTAATTTAAAAAAGGTTTTTAACATGGTTGGATCTACTCAATATTATTGCGGGGTAAAAACCAACGACTTTGTCGTAAAAGACCTTGTGATGAATTTTATTCTAATTTAACAAAAACATTACGTTCAAAATTCATCATCCCTCATCTCATTCATTATTCGCTTTACCCCACACACACACACACATCGAGAGCAATAGAGATAGATATTAGACTTTTCATTTTATTTTTGCAATCTCACCAAATTCGACTACGAAGGTTCCCCCTTTTTGTTTATTCTTGACAGGTTTTGACAGGTCGCGCGGACTGTCACGGCTCGCGTGAACTGTCATTGGCCTATGATCGTGCCGGCGATGGCGATCTGCACGCGTTGGTGTGGTTGAAGCTTTAGGTTGACATGCCGTCCCTATTTAGAAATCTACCCACACAAAATTTCAAAGTGGAGCGGTGGAAGCAACAAGTTTGAGAAGCGCCGACTTTCGCTAAACTATTCATGTGTGGACAATGTCTGCGGAATGCTTTCTTCGCAAATGCCTGTCTAGCTGAAGGTATTTTGAAGTTGTGGAATTATAATGCAAATGTTTTCATAAATATTTACTGCAACGAGGTGTTTTGATAAGTTCTGTTACGTGCTCTCTACCAGAGACTCTCGGGTAGCAATACTGCCTACAAGTTGTATTTGTTTGGGACTAGATGGCACGTAAAATATCACAAATTAGTTTAAAAACTGCATGCAAATCCGTTGCTTAGTTTTAAAGATCTAAGTATACATAGGGATAGACAGACAGGAAAGCGACTTTGTTTTATAATAGATAGTGTGTATGGTTTACATTAAAAATATAATTAGTAACTTAGCAAATCTCAAGGTTTGATTGACACAAAATAAAAGCTAATATCTCATGATTTCAAATCACCCAGTTGTCTGATACTATCTATAGTTTTTGACAGTGAATCCTAAAACTGTAAACCAAACCTTTTTTTTTATTAAACACAGACTGCAATGAAGATGTTTTTGTTTCCTGCCTGCACAGCTCGCCCCTGACAGTCCTAAAAATGTTTGATATTCAGCTGAAGCAAAAATTGATTTGGGAATTCGTGTTTGTCTAAAATTCAATTCCATGACCTGCTGCGGGCGGCAACAGTCATATGGAATTCTAGAACAATGTAGAATGATTCAGAAGGCGCCTGGAAAACAAGTTTTGGTTAAAAAGCTTGATATTTTATGAATTTATTTATTCGAGGAAAATCTACAGCATATTCTTTTAAGTAATTACAAGTACCATGCTAATATTGTATAGCAAGTAATGTCAATTATAGCCTGACCAGGAACATAAAAACCCTGGCATAGAGGCGCGTCAATTGCATTTGATAGTGCAACACTGAGTACAGTCGTACCTGTGTTAAATTAATAGGCTAACTTTATGTATCAGGATTCAGGATTACGGGCTAATTTGATATTTTCATAAATTAACGAAAAAATATTATTATAGGTAACCTGGTTTAAATAAATTAAATGAAACCATCAATCGAGTTAGTAGGATTTATTTTATTATTCATCAATAATCAAATTCAGAACTTGAATATTCAACTGCAATGTCTGCTCATGAACGCTTCAAACTCGGTACTTCTTTCCCAATTCCATAAAATTCAACACTTAGAAAGTGACAAAAAACTTTAAAATAGGTATTTGAAACAAACCACAGCTAATTTTCATAGTGGACTGTACTATACGATAAACATGTCAGTCAATTTGACAACCTTTGTCGGAAACATTATTCAATGAAAATATTGTCCGAACCCTTAGTATTTCTCTTCGAATAATATTTATATTAAACAAAATTACATCAAATGAGTCTTAGATTAAGTAAGGTTTATATCAAATGTCTTTATGCGTTGTATCTGAAATGATATTATTAGAAATGATTTATTATATGAAGTAAACATTATATGTTAAAAAATTATATCAAGTGTTATTATAACATACGTTTATTATATAATATGAACGTTATTGAAATGAATTTATATCATATAAACTTATATAAACTGTCACGCTCCCCTAAAAAAGAGACAAAATCCTAATAATACCTAAGTAAAATTTTTAATTTAAGCTACCAACCTGCCGATGCCGCGATGTGGAAATCATTGGGCGAGGTCTATGTTCAGCAGTGAAGTTCTGTGGCTGAAATGATGATGATGCTAAAAAATTTAAATGAAATTAAGTGCACATAATGGTGGGATTAGACACTTGATGAAGTTTATTAACACCCATATTGACAAACGATGCTTGCTTAAATGAAGCAAAAAATCGAACGCTCAGCGATGAATACAGCTCTGCGATTGGTTCGTGTGTCACCCTGTGCGTCCACGCGCACTGTGAGACCTCATAGTAACGTTTGTGAATACGGGCCTAACTCCTTTAACTATTCTTCATTTTTCTTCCTATTCCTCAACTGAAAGTCCACGCCACCTTTAGCATCAGACAATAACGCAACCTCAGCGTGTTCTAATAACTCGGCCAGATTCCTTATTAATATTAATGCAGGAAGATGTATCGGTATTCCCGGGAATTCCCGTTTATTCCGCCGATTGTCTTTGCCCGGGGAGATATTGAGTTTTTCGTTAAAGGAATATCGGATTATGCTCGGAGCCTTTAATTAAAGGTGGATCGACGTAAATGTATAAACGGTAAATAGATCTCTTGACTTCGGAAATTGTAGGCAAATGGAATGATTTTTGTAATTGGATGCCTGAAACAGATTGAAATAATACCTGCCTCCATATTTCCAAAGAAATAAGGGCGACTTCATACTGGTCGAGTACAGAAACGAAGCAGAAACGCGACTGTGGTGCTGCGGCAGATTTTATTTACTTATTTATTTACAACTTATATGCACATAGAACGGTGTACATAAGGTGGACTTAATGCCTTTCGGCATTTTCTGCCAGTCAACCTTAGGGCCAAACTGAGAATAAAGTAGGCGGTATAGATTTTCTGCTATAGCTCCCCAGTAAAATGATTTTGAATGCGTCTCAGAACTCAGATTATCATCATCAGCTCATTTTAGTGTTCACTTCAGAAACATGCCCACTCTAAGTATCAGAAAATTCAATGAATGGAAGGTTTGGTCTAAGTCTCCTCATCATTCATCATCATTTCAGCCATAGGAGGTCCACTGCTGAACATCGTAAAGGTAGCAGGGAAGCACTGGACGCAGGCCGCTACCAATTGATCAATTAACTCTCCTCACCCAAAACTAACTGGTTGAACTAAATAGTTAGTTACCCTACAGTATTTTATTTCTTCAGATCTCTTTATTTGTCACAGAGTCTATAATCTCCACATTGTTCCAGACTGGTTCCCTGGCTGGCGCAAACACAGCAGCCAGCCGAACGACGACGGCACCTCCGGCCAGGACTGCGTGGAGGCGCGAAGGGAATTCCCTCCACGACCACCACCTGCCACGACCACCTTTATGTGGAACGACAGAGGGTGCAGGGAACACAACTACTTCGTGTGCGAGCGGCCTAGCGTAGATGGTAAGTAATACTTATGCTAGCGCGGGGAGGCTTTTGGGGTATTAACGTAGTCACGTTCAGCAGTGGACGTCCTGTGGCTGAAATGATGATGATGATGATGACTTATGCTAGATTCGTGCCTGATGCTAGTACGGAATCCATCTGTCCGGATTGCGTGGAGGCGCGACGAAAGTTCAATGGATTGCCTTATTTGGTGATGATGATGATAAACTGGCAAAAGCCAGTTGTACAACGGCACCAGGACTGTGTACACTTCTAACCGACTTAAAAAAAGGAAAAAGTCACACATGTCATTAAAGGCTTGGCCTCTGCCATTTTAACGTGAGTCGTTGAAATAGCTATTGTTTTATTAATCGTTGATAAATTGCATTGGGATCATTCGGATGTTGTAGCGATAATTACATAAATCCTGTACAACTGTGCAATTGATAATGATTCCCAGAAGAGCAGTTATCGATATCGACAGCTCGTAAATATGTAAAACACAATTTTACTACATAGGTATGAAAGATGTATTGTATGTACAACACTAATGATTCAAATCGATTAGAAAAAGCAAAATCCATTAGCTACGAGTAAATAATAATTTTCAATTACTACCTACACACAAAAACTTTTCCAAAACCAAACGAAAGTGTATGTTTGAGTTGAAAAACGATATTAATTTCGTATCAACAGTGATGGTAATGATATATTGATACGGGTTGGTTCTAGGCGGCTCACCCGGATCGTTTGCGCTGAGCCTCGATATTATTATGAAGAAACTTCGGTTTGTCGACAAAAATATGTACCTATTACCTCACAATAGTTTTCAAAGACTGTTTTGAGTAAAAATGGTCACTCAGTAGCGCTCGTATCATAAGCATAAGAGTAGCTATGAAAGATATCTGAAACATTTTAAACACTTCATTCATGTAGATTATTTACATATTAAAATAGATAAAGACACGGGTCTTAACGCGACGTTTATTAATGAGTTAGGTACATTATGTACTCACAGCTGACATATTAAGACCCGTGTCTTACTATTTTAATTGAAATGGAACGCGAAAGTTTAAAATCTTAGATAATAATTATTTACATAGGTACACACTTGTTAATATTTCGTCACCACTCTACATATTATAATATGCACCCAATGGGTTGTTTAAATATTGACTTTTTGATATAACAGCTCGACTTGTACATCATTATTTGCAAGGCAACCCTCCACCGACTTCTGTCCCTATCCTTCACTATATAAGTATATAAATAAGAATATTGAAAGTAAGAAAGTTTGTAATAAAGGAACTTTACACGTTGCTTCAAAGTTCAAACTACTCGTATATGAGCACACCGCTAACAATTTAACGTGTGAACTGCCCTTAAAAGCGGAACTATCCTGAAAGACGCTGTGAAGAGTTTAACGACACCTCTACGACATTATATTTTATACATTGTCGTTCCAAATGTGACCCAAGTGCAATAACGGCGAACGTTATGTTGTTTTTATCGTCTTATCGAAGTTCCGCTTTTGTCACGTTTAAATTGTGCTCTCATTTATTTTTGATGAGAATTTCACCCGAGGGCGTTAATGCAAACTACTGTAATAAGGGATTAAGTCAGAAAAAATGCCTTTTCACTCATGGCTTAAAGGCCTTATTTATTTTTATGATTTAGATCTCAATGATTAATGTTTCTTTATATTCGTTTTAATGTTGGAATCACTTATTCTCATATTTTTATAAACTTTTATCCGATTTGGGTCCTGGATCAAGGCTAATGTTGGTATTTCAAAATGTTTTGATTCAAATTGTGATCTGACTGTTCACTAAACATTTATCTATCTTCACTTCACTAAATATTTATAAAAACAAAAGGTTACGGACTGATTGACTGCTTGGGGGTTCCTTTTAGAACGTAGATGCTCACTAAGAACAGATTTTACGAAACTCCACCCCCAAGGAGGTAAAACGGGATCCACGCGTACGAAGTCGCGAGCGGCCGCTAGTAATCAATACTTAGCAGTTACGTAGACAATGATGTGTCAACTTCTGAAGCGATCTTACTATTCAAGAGACGACATAAAGAGCTTAACGACATCTCTACGGCATTGTAATACATTGTCGCGTGCCAAATATGAGCCATNCGCCACCCTGTAGATCTCTTGACTTCGGAAGTTGTAGGCAAATGGAATGATTTTTTGTAATTGGATGCCTGAAACAGATTGAAATAATACCTGCCTCCATATTTCCAAAGAAATAAGGGCGACTTCATACTGGTCGAGTACAGAAACGAAGCAGAAACGCGACTGTGTACTGCTGTTAGACAAACTTCTACTAGTATCGTACATTATAATCAGGTTATTTTCTCTAATTTATCAGAGGCAAATAGAGGACTTTGGCCTACACTTCCCACGGTGACAGGACTCAGTATCCAACACGAAATCTTAGTAAGATTAATTTTTAGTGTCAGAGAATAATAATTAAGGTGATTGTATAGTAATTTAATACCCTAATATTATTGCCTTTCTTCTAAACTCTTATTTAGATAAGTCTTAGTCTAGATATATTCTCGTCACAGACTTTAATACTTAATTTTGTTCCAGACTGGTTTCCCGGCTGGCGCAAGCACAGCAGCCAGCCGAACGACGACGGCACCTCCGGACAAGACTGCGTGGAGGCGCGAAGGGAATTCCCTCCACGACCACCTCCTGCCACGACCACCTTTATGTGGAATGACAGAGGGTGTAGGGAGCACAATTACTTCGTGTGCGAGCGGCCCAGCGTTGATGGTAAGTGCTTGATCAATATTAGGTTGAATACGTAACTGGGGCGTTCATAGAAAACAGCCAGGTATCTTCGGGTAGGACTGCGTGGAGGAGCGAAGAGAGTTCTCTCCACAGCCACCCCCTGCTTATTCCACCTTTAAATGGAACGACAGAGGGTGCAGGGAACACAACTACTTTGTGTGCGAGAGACCCAGCGTTGATGGTGAGTTCGTTCGTTCGTTCGTTCGTTTCAGCCGAAAGACGTCCACTGCTGGACAAAGGCCTCCCCCAAGGATTTCCACAAAGACCGGTCCTGCGTCACTTGCATCCAGGTACCTCCCACGACCTTCACCAGATCGTGACCTTCATCCAGGTACCTCCCACGACCTTCACCAGGACTGTATTGACTTCCATTTTTAACCGACTTAAGGAAAAACATAACCACTGCGTTGCGCAGTCGGGTAAAAAGGAAGACGTTCCACTCATGTCAGAAGGGCCTGGTTATATGACTCGTTGAAATAGCTATTGTTTTATTAATCGTTGATAAATAGCATTGGGATCAACAGGATGTTGTAGCGATAATTACATAAATCGTGTACAACTGTGCAATTGATAATGATTCCCAGAAGAGCAGTTATCGATATCGACAGCTCGTAAATATGTAAAACACAATTTTACTACATAGGTATGAAAGATGTATTGTATGTACAACACTAATGTTTCAAATCCATTAGAAAAAGCAAAATCCATTAGCTACGAGTAAATAAAATAGTTTTCAATTACTACTTACACACAAAAACTTTTCCAAAACCAAACGAAAGTGTATGTTTGAGTTGAAAAACGATATTAATTTCGTATCAACAGTGATGGTAATGATAATATATTGATACGGGTTGGTTCGGGGCGGCTCACCCGGATCGTTTGCGCTGGGCATCGATATTATGTTATGAAGAAACTTCGTCAACAAATGTGTACTAAATATCCAATAGTTCTTATAGACTGTTTTGAGCGTTACTCAGTTGCGTTTGTAAGTATCTGAATGGGTAGAAATTTGCTTTGAAGAATATCCGAGACATTTTGAACACTTGATACATATTTATTATTTACATACACACTTATACTTATTTCGTCATCACATCTTAGGCTGGGTTGCACCATCTTACTTTAAGTTTAACGTCAAAAATTTGTCCAGCTCCATACCAAAAACACCGGTTATCGTCATAGTTACGGTTAAAATTAGCTGGTGCAACTCAGAATTAAATACGCACCCTGCAAAGGTTTAAATATTTTACTTTTTGATATACCAGCTTGACTTGTATACAATATTTGCCAGCCCAATAGGTTAACTGTCTATATCAGCCTTTTGATTATTTAGTCTTCGAACATAGGCCTCCTCTTACTTCAACCCTCCACAGACTTCTGTCCCCATGCCCGATGGGTGAATATTCGTCATCATATTACAATACCTGACTGACTTCACTATAGTTCTGGTAAATGTCATAAATACGAATATTGAACGTAACAAAGTTTGTAATAAACGAACTTTACACGTTGCTTCAAAGTTCAAACTACTCGTATATGAGCACACCGCTAACAATTTAACGTGTGAACTGCCCTTAAAAGCGGAACTATCCTGAAAGACGCTGTGAAGAGTTTAACGACACCTCTACGACATTATATTTTATACATTGTCGTTCCAAATGTGACCCAAGTGCAATAACGGCGAACTTTGTGTTGTTTTTATCGTCTTATCGAAGTTCCGCTTTTGTCACGTTTAAATTGTACTATAATTTATTTTTGATGAGAATTTCACCCGATGGTGTTAATGCAAACTACTGTAATAAGGGATTACTAAAAAAATGCCTCTTCACATAATGCTTGATGGTTATTATCGCAACGCAGATCTCAATAATTAAAGTTTCTTTATATTCGTTTAAAGTGTATGTAGAAATCACTTATTCTCATATTTTTATAAACTTTTATCCCATTTGGGTCCTGGATCAAGGCTAATGTTGGTTTTTCAAAATGTTTTGATTCAAATTGTGATCGGTCAGTTCACTAAACATTTATCTATCTTCACTTCACTAAATATTTATAAAAACGAAAGGTCACTGACTGATTGACTGCTTGGGGGTTCCTTTTAGAACGTAGATGCTCACTAAGAACAGATTTTACGAAACTCCACCCCTAAAGGGGTAAAACGGGATCCACGCGTACGAAGTCGCGGGCGGCCGCTAGTAATCAATACTTA